CTAGCTACATTGTTGATACTCTAAAAAACTTGAGCATACAAGATAAATATATTGCGTTTTCAGGGGATAACACTGACACAAACTTTGGAGGTATTAACAGGCGCCAGGACACAAATGTACATAGCTTTCTAAAAACAATTCTCAATCCTAAGATGTTAGGATCTGGATGTCCTGCTTATGTTTTGCACAATTGTATTCAAAATGGTTTGGACAGAGGACTTTCTATTGATGTAGAGTCAATTTTTTTGAAAATGTTCAATTATTTCTCAATATATACTGTAAAAACTGAAAAACTGAAAAGCTTTTGTAACTTTGTAGAAGTAGAATATAGGCAATTGTTATACCACTCAAAAACCAGGTGGTTGTCTTTGTTTCCTTGTGTAAATAGAATGTTACAAATGTACCCTAAACTCAAATCCTATTTTCAATCTCAGGAATCTATACCTGTTATTATTAAAAATTTCTTTGATGATGATTTAAATGAAGCTAGATTTTTTTTTTGTTCATAGCCTTATGTATGTATTCCATGAGAGAATTATATATCTAGAAAAAAAAAATAATAGTTTAGCTGAAAGTATATCCATCCTAGAGGAAGTTCTTGAAATTCTGACTGAAAGAAAAAATAATAATTTTGTACCTTTAAATGTTAAAAGCATTTTCAAGAAAATGAAAGATTGTGGATGTGGATATAAATGCAATACTGTATCTATTGAATTTTCAAAGGGTGATTTCCCCTTTATTTGCTGTGCATTGTAAAATATCCTCTTTTTTATTGATATATATATATATATATATATATATATATATATATATATATATATATATATATATATATATATATATATATATATATATATATATATATATATATATTGTAGGAATTATGTTAATATTTCCAGTAAGAGTGCTCAATACAGCGTTTTATATAATTAGTAGAGCAAATAATATATTGAAAACTAAATAATTATTAAGATATATTTCAATTACATAACTAAAAGTTTCACGCAATAGCGATCATCAGATGTAACAACAATAAAAAGTAACGACAAAAATTATATACAAAAAATGCTATGGAGTGTCCGCTTTGATGACATTAAAGTTTTTTATTAGAAATTTATTTTCATGGCGGCATTTTGACGCAAGCTCGGTTCTTTTGTTAAGCAAATTCAATGGCGACGTAATAATGTGGTGTTTTTCTGTCAAGCATAAATTGCAAAATTTACCACCAGGTTTGAATGGCTCCGCTTGATCGAGGATATTCCATTTTAAAATAGGTTCTATACCTTTATTTTTGCATTCCCACACAAATTTCGAAAGTTCAGTGGAGTTGGCCTTACTTTCATAAACAAAGGAGTTTTTATGTTTATACCACCTGTCTTTGAAAGTTTTCTCAGTAAGCCCAACGTAATAATATCCTTCTTCTTCTTGGTGAGTTTTTGCGTTGCAAATATAAATAAGATTTTTTGTAAGGCATTTTCCATTGAGTGGGCATAAGGTGGTTTGTCGACAATTGCATAATTGATTGGCATTTTCATGAGAATGAAATAATATCTTTTTATTATGAGAAGTAACAATACTCTTGATGTTTGGAAGGCAGCTATAACTAACCTTTAAGTTGTTTCGATTAAAAAGTTTGTGAAATTTGTGGCCTTTAGGGAAACATTTATCAATTGTACTCAAAAATGTTTTGGCTACGTTTGTTCTGACGTTGAGTGAATAAGGTGGGTTAAACCAGATAATGTTTCTTTTTCGAGATTTTTTATTATATTTCTGGATATTTGGAGTGAAATTGATCTTATCTTTGAATCCACAAGAATTGAGGGCATTATTATAAAATGGTGCGGCTCTATCAAAAGCTTCTTTGCTTGAAGATATATTACTGATGCGGTTAGAGATCATTTTTGGTATCGATTTAATAATGCTTGGTGGGTAGTTTGAATTGATGTTAATATATAAAGGATTATCTCCTGGTTTTCTATAAGGTTTAAAAGAGTTCTCAGAAAGGTTGAATGTGATATCAAGAAAATTTACGGTTTTTAAATTTGGTTTGATAGTGATGTTAAGATTAAAATTGTCTTTAAAAATTTTTATTAGATTTTTCTTTATTTTTTCCGATTGAGGACCACTGATATTATAGAAGCAGCAAAGACCATCATCTCTATATAGACCGGTAGTATTAAGACCATATTCTTTGGCAATAGTGTATAAGATATAGAGGCCAACTAGTTCGCATAATTCGGCTCCGTCAAAACTACCCATATATGTATATATATATATATATACATATATATATATATATATATATATATATATATATATATATATATATATATATATATATATATATATATATATATATATATATATATATATATATATATATATAGAGAGAGAGAGAGAGAGAGAGAGAGAGAGAAAAAGAGATCAAAAATGGTCCGAGGGGCGGCGGTGTCTGACCGTTAAATTGAATTGACCGTTAAATATGTTTATTTTTATATAGTCAATCAGATAGTATTGGCATTTCACGAGCATTGGGGAATATTGGTCGTGTAAAAGCAAGAATGGGAAAGTTTGAGGATGCCATTCAAAGGTTTTATTTTTATTTATTTTTTTTATCCTAATAAATATTTTTCAATATTTGTTACTTGAAAATGTAAGGTTAATTTTTATAATCTTTTAGTTAACAACATCCTATAATTAGTTTACTCTAAAATGTTGTAAAAGTAAGGAGACTGCTGATTGGTAGGGGCACATTGATTGGATGATTGGTAGGGCCAGTTGACTAGCGATAGATACTAAATTTTTATCAGTTTAAAAATAACAGGTTTCTATTGGACCACAAATTTTTTTTTTTTTAATTTAGTCAAAAAATAGTTGAAGAAAGTCTTTTCTATACTTGGTTACTAATGATCTTTAAAGTTATTATCATTTTAAAAAAATGAAAATGAAGTGACATTTTAAAAATTCAATCCCACAGATGGGTTATCTTCTAAGATATATAGTTTAAAATTTATTAATTAAAAAGTTATTCATTTATTTCAGTTGGGAGGAGAAGATGCAATATATAAAGACTCCCTTGGAAGCAACATGGCTGTACCATGAACTTGGTCGCTCTTACTTAGAATTAAATTCCCTTGACACAGCCTTAAGTTATGGATTAAAATCACTTGCAGCTGCTAAAGAAGGCAACGATGAATTTTGGCAGTTAAATGCAAACGTTCTTATTGCACAAGCATATGGTAAAATGAAATATCTTTAATTTATTGTCTCAATAATTATAATTAAATATCTTTAATATGTTGTCTTAATAATTATAATTAATTATCTTTAATATATTGTCTTTGTAATTAAAATTATAAAACAGTTCTACTGTTTTAAATTGCACAATCTTTTCTTGTTTTTGTTTTCAGATAATATAAACTATAAATATAATTAGTCATCAACAATATAGCACAGGGTTATGGTTGGTTACTTTAATTTTTACTTTAATGAAAACATCACCAACTACTGTAATAGAAGCCTCCATACAATAAAAAAAATTTTTGCCAATAAAATTAAAAATAATTTGATTTTTTTTTTAGTAAAATAAAGTAATATAAAATAAAATCTGGTGTTGACCTTAATGATGACCTTTTTTTAATTTTGTTTGATTTTAATGCAGTAAAATTTTAAAATTTTAATGCAGTAGCTACATCAGATTTTGATTGCATCAGCTGCATCAGATTTTGATTGCATTAGCTGCATCAGATTTTGATTGCATCAGCTGCATCAGATTTTAATTGCATCAGCTGCATCAGATTTTGATTGCATCAGCTGCATCAGATTTTGATTGTATCAGCTGCATCAGATTTTGATTGCATCAGCTGCATCAGATTTTGATTGCATCAGCTGCATCAGATTTTGATTGCATCAGCTGCATCAGATTTTGATTGCATCAGCTGCATCAGATTTTGATTGCATCAGCTGCATCAGATTTTGATTGCATCAGCTGCATCAGATTTTGATTGCATCAGCTGCATCAGATTTTGATTGCATCAGCTGCATCAGATTTTAATTGCATTAGTTGCATCAGATTTTGATTGCGTCAGCTGCATCAGATTTTAATTGGAGTAATTACATCAGATTTTAAACACTGTAACTACATCAGACTAATTTAAAATATTTTTTATTTATAATAGTTTTGTCAGAAAAGTAAATAGCTTTGACAACACAGAAACAAAATAATCCTAGTTTTAAACAGATTACATAAAACAACTTTGATATAAATGTTGAATAATGATGCAAAAAATAGTGTTATTATCATCAGTTTTAAAATTACATCTTGAATTTTGAAAACATTTGCCCTATACGCTTTTAATATTAGTAAATTTCAAGAAATTAAATGTAACATATGTTTTTTTTGAGAGTATATATTGTTGTTTTTTTATTTGTTATTTTATATCTCTATTTTTAATTTAGGTAACCAGAAAAATTTTGAAAGCAGCATTGCAGCTTTTGAAAAAGCTTTAAGTCTCGCCGATATAACAGGAGACAAAATAGCAAAAACAGCTATCACTAAAGCTATAAATGATACCAAAGCAAAATCTGAAATATACGGTAATAAACACACACAGTTATATATGTGAATATATGTATATATATACATATATATATATATATATATATATATATATATATATATATATATATATATATATATATATATATATATATATATATATATATATATATATATATATATATGTATATATATATATATATATATATATATATATATATATATATATATATATATATATATACACTGCATGTGTATATATATAATATATATATTTATATATACATATAAATATATGTATATAAGCATTTAAGTTGGCACATGGAGCAAGTTTTGAACTATAGTTGGCAAATTGCAAATATTGAGGCCCTTTTTTTTTTTTTTTTTTTAATTTGGTGTTTCTAGTTGGGAAAAAAATACATACACCCCGTATGAAAGACCTCTTTGGGATGGCTCTACTTGTGACATGTTATTTCATAATGCTTGCATTTAAGTCTTTCCGTACATCAAAACTTACAAGCTTTGCCATTTCCTATTGTGGCCCAATCCTATGAAACCATTCTACAAGCCTGAGTTGTAAACTTAAAGAAGCCAATACCTCTCAAAAATTTAAAAAGAACATAATCAAATTTATTGCCAATCAAGATTCTTTACATGATTTTTTCTAACAATACACTTTTATTTTCAATTTTTATTATCAAAGGTTACTGATGATAAGATTTTATCTTCTTCAGGTTCTCTGGTCTCGTAACTACTATAAATATAGTAAGGAAATGAGGAAAAATAAGGAAATGTACTTGTATTTAATATTGTTAAATATTTTATCGGAAATTACCTTTAATTGTAAATGGTTGCTTGACAAAAAAAAAAAAAAATTAAAAAAAATATAGCAGCACTAAGTAAGCTTGCTTTTTTACAATTTGCACTCCATCTAACGGAAAAGGTTCTCAATAGGATTCAAATCAGGTGAGCGAGCGGGTTAAGGCATCAGATTCAATTGATTTTCCTCCATGTATTGCTTGATTGAGCGTTTTTTGTTGAAATTGCCAAGTGGAGTCTGTTTGTCAAGTGGAGTTCTGAAAACGTCCATTAAAGGCTGTAAATAATCTTTTAATATCTCTCTATACCAATATTGATTGAGGCAATCAGTGTAAAGATGCATCAGACCAGTGCTTGATCCAGCAATGCAACCCTAAATGCTAATTGAGCCTCCTCCTCTTTCAAGTCTTGACAAGATAAAACAATAATTGTATTTTTTGTTTTTATATCTCTTCACTAAAATCCTTTTTTTGTGATTGATAAATTCAAAATTGTCTGAGAAAATTACTTTTCTCCATTGCTCTACAGTCCATGCAGCTCTTTCTTTGCACCATTGAGAGCAGACTTATATGCTTAGTAGTGGCTTTTTTGTTGCAAGGTATGAATTTCATTTATTTCAGCAATTTCAGCTATCCTCATGTATGGGTTACATGTAGCATTGTTGCTTTATTTTTGTCGTTTTCTGACATTTTTTAAGACGACCAGAGTGGCTTTTGCCTTTGATTGTGCCAAACTTATTATAGTTTTTTAGTGTTATTCTAACGCTGCATTTGCTGATCTTAAGCTAATTGATCTTAAAGTAATTTTAAGCTAATTAGCTTGGCGTCCAATTTCTCAATTGCTGAGACAACTTTTTGTGCATTCCAGCAACTCGCCTTTTTTTTTTAAATTGATATGTTTTTAAACCCATATTTTTGTTGTTTCAATTTTGAGTTTATAATGACATTTTCATCGCTTCATTTTATATTACCTCAATTTTTTATTGACTATTATTAATCAGCAAAGATTATTTAACAAAAATTAATCATAAAGAATCCAAAAAATTGTTTCTAAAAGGAATTGAATTAGTGTGCTGATGTTTTTTAAATAAGTTTGCTAATACTTTTGTACAATTATTTTCACTCATTTTTCAGAGCAGTCATTAAAACTCTAATCAATTCATGCACAAAAAAAATCAAGTTGATAAATAAATGGCATTATATTTATTTTATTCAGCCTCAATTTTTGTTTAAAAAAAAATTAGTTTAAAATTAAAATTAGTTTTCGATTAAAAAAAAATTACAAGTGTGCTATAACTTTCTGGTAGCACTGTATATATATAGAACTTGGTAAGTTATTACCCTCATACTTAGTGTTGGAAACACAAGTTTTAGGGTTTTTGTTGTTCCCAGGCTCTGATCACAGCAATTTTTTTTGAAGTAATTTAATTTGATATAAGCATAAAAGTACCATTTTAAATATATATATATATATATATATATATATATATATATATACATACATACATACATACATACATACATACATACATACATACATACATACATACATACATACATACATACATACATACATACATACATACATACATACATACATACACATATATACATTGAATTTTAATTGAATCATTTATATCAGAAACCTATTAGGTGCACTTTTTTTCAAATTTTTGGATAACTGAAAAAGATTCCAAATTTTCAAAAGGTTTCTGCAATAAACTTAAATTGCATGACAAAATCAATTAATCATATCAACCCACTGAAAGGCTTGAAATTTCACGTGTTACTGCATAAAAAGGTGTGACTAAAGTTGGTCATTCATAATCTATAATAATATTATTTTTCAAAATATATCACTTGATAGGTTTCTGAAATAAATAATTCTTTTAATGAATCTTTACCTTGCTTTTATATTTTTACACAATTTTTTTTTCAGCTTGTGATAATCTGGCTAACAGTAGCAATGAACAAATTAAACTTGACTGTCAAATTTCATCTAAAGATTTAGACGAAAATATGTTTAACTCAGGAGAATTATCCAATGACTACAAACAAAAAATTAATAACACCAAAAATGTTTATACTGAATGCAGTGTGACAGAGCAATTAAATGAATGTGATGAAACGGAGCAACTAAACGAAGTTGATTCTTTTTTTGATCATACTTATCAAGATGACATTCAGCACTGTGAAAGTTTGGACTGTACTACAAATATGTCAGGAAATAACAGCAATATTATTACTGAGTCACCATTAAATACAATAATAAGTGACCAAATGAGTTATGAATCACCAAGATCTGAAAAGGATATGAATTTGTCAAACAGCGATGCAAATGTGAGTTGTATATATGATGGAAATTCATTAGAGGAAGCAGAGAGGGACGAATCAAAGAATGAAAATTTTACAGGGAAATCAGATGATACATCCGAAAACATTTTCAAAAATGCCCCTGAAGTAAAAAGAATTGATGTTCAGTTAGAAGAAAATAATGCACTAGTTTTAAAAAGTGATTTAACTCCTTCTCTTGGTCTAATATTGGAAAATTTTTTACCTGGTAAAGAAATAGATTTTATAGAAACTCGAATTAATGCAACTCACACCGAGCATCTAATCAATGAAATTCATACTGAGCATCTAATCAATGTAACTTGCAATGAGCTTCAAATCAATGAAACTTGCACAGAGAATCTAGTTAATGAAATTCATACTGAGCATCTAGTTGATGAAGTTCACACTGAGCATAGAATCAATGAAACTTGCATAGAGCTTCAAATCAATGAAACTCACACTAAGCATAGTATTGATGAAACACACACAGAGCATAGAAACAACGAAACTTACGATGAGCTTCAAATTAATGAAACTTATATTGAGCACAAAGTCAATGAAACTCATACCGAACATCAAATCAATAAAGTTCTTAAAATAGAAGCTCATGCTGAGCCCCCACTTGGCGAAACTAACGTTGAGCCTTCACTTGGCGAAACTAACGCTGAGCAACGGATTATTACAACTGAAAAGAGTGAATTGTCTGACCAGGTTTTCAATTATGAAACATCATTTCAAACAAGTTACACTGTTACCAGCAATGAACCTAGTAATTTATTAGTTTTAGAAAGTTCAATTATGTCAGATGAAAATTTAAAAACAGTTAATTTAAATACCACAACACATTATGAAAACGAATCACTTTGCAATGAAAGTATAACGTTCACTGAAAATTTAACAGCAGTTAATGATATTTTAATAGCATGTAATGAAAACAAAGAGTTGGGTGATGAAAGTTTGTACAACGAGAATTCAACACCGTTTATTGAAAATGATATTGAATTTAATAAAAATGAAAGAAAATGCAGTTTAAACATAATAACATGCAATAAAAATGAAGCAACGCTCAATCAAAATGAAACTGCGCGCAATGAAAATGAAACTCCGCGCAATGAAAATGAAACTGCATGCAATGAAAATGAAACTGCGTGCAATGAAAATGAATCAGTAAACTTTAATAATATAAAAACACCCAGTGAGGATTTAATACAATGTAAAGATAATGAAACAGCTTCTAATGAAAGTTTGTTATTTTGCAATGAAAGTTCAATAGCATACAATGAAAGTTCAATAGCATACAATGAAAAAAGAAATGCTTCTGCTCTAGATCTACAGTCTGAAGTGGAAGATCAGCTGACAAATAAAAACAATAATGATCAAAGACTTGCAATAGCAAGCCATCATACTGCAAATTATGAACGGAACAGCATAACTAAAGAGTGCGAGATTGCAAACAATTATGAACGCAACAGTGCAACTGAAGATTGTGAGATTACAAAGAGTTATAAACGCAACAGCATAACTGAAGATTGTGAAATTACAAACAATTACGAACGCAACACGATAGCTGAAGGTTGTGAGATTGCGAAGAGTTATGAATGCAACAGCATAACTGAAGATTGTGAGATTGCAAACAATTATGAACGCAGCAACAAAACTGAAGATTGTGAGATTGCAAACAATTATGAGCGTAACAACATAAATGAAGATTTTGAGATGGCAACCAATTATGAGCATAACAGCACAACTAAAGATTGTGAGATTTCAAACAATTATAAACGCAACAGCATAGCTAAAGATTGTGAGATTGCAACCAAATATGAGCATAACAGTGCAACTAAAGATTGTGAAATTGCAAACAATTATGAACGCAACAGTATAACTGAAGATTATGAGATTGCAAACAATTATCAACATAGTAAAACTAATGAGATAACTATTGATAAAAGCAATTAATGAATTCATATAATCTAACTTTTTTTAAATATAATTACGCAAAATATAAGGTTATAAAAAATGAATCTTTCTATATAAGTATGTAGACACAAAACTAAAGAAAATGAATATCTATATAAAAAGATTAATTCACAATACTATTTTGACTTATAATACTTTTTTTATAATATTGTTTAATTTAATCCAAAAAAAGTTTGTGCTTATTGCATAAATGATGTAGTTGGATATTTTTCAAATATTTTTTCTTTCGCATTAATTCACATCTTTTTTATAAAAGCAATCTACTTAAATGTAACCCACCTAAATGCGCTATAACTGAAAAGCTATTTTATCTTAATAAATAAAAAATAAATTTTCTGAAAATTACGAAGTTACAATCTTTTGAAATGAACATCATAAAATCCGCCTGGTTTCCTTATTTTAAGTGTAGTATCGATCGACCTCTTTATTAAAATTAATAAGAAATAAAAAAAATTATAAATAATAATCTAATTTATTAGTATATAATAATTTAAATTACTATTATATTTCATTTAATCAGTTTAAAACTAAATCAAAGCGGTGTTAATTACGCACAGATTTTGATTTATCTGGTTTTAAGTGTTTCTTAAAACAATAAAATAAAAGCATCTAAATTACTATATCAAATAAAACATGAATTAATTTAAGTTAATTAAAGTTAAAATACCACCCAAAATGGCAAACTATAATACCATAATATCAACACCCACATTAGTGCAGCAGTCTTCAAAAAAAATTGAACATAAAAGTATTGATCGAGATTGTTTGGAAGAAAGAAAAAATTATCATTTGAAACCGGGCGTATCTACATCAAAGAAAAAACTAATCTTTGGGAATAAAATTGCTAAGAACAGAAACTCTATTGCAGAAATCCGTATTATTCGAGAATTCTTTATATTTGTTGGAGGAGTTTGTAATTCCATATCAGAAGCTCTTTTGTTTAACTATATAAAAAAAGAAATAGGCGTCGAGCCAATTGGTGTCTCACTCAACCGGTAAAATAAATATAACCACTTTTTCAAAGTAACAATAAAAAGTCATGAAAAATACATAGTCCTAAAACTGGAAATTTGGGGCCATAATATTATTGTTAAATAATTTCGAAAACCTCATGAAAATTTAGGGACTGAAATGATGCTTCAAAATAACAACTCAGTAACTAAAAGTTAATCTGACATCGTAAATCACCTTATCATTGCACCACATACTACTACCCTAAAGCTGACTGGGATTCTTTTCGTGATTTTTTTCGTGATGGTCCTTGGGCTGATGTTTTTTCTTTCTCAGCTGATAAATGCGCCTCCTACGTAACCTCCTGGATTCAGGCTGGAGTGGAAGCTTTTATTCCTTCTCATCGGTTTCAAGTCAAGCCTCATTCTACTACATGATTTTCTCCTTCTTGTGCGGCTGCTATATCCAATTGTAATCATTTTTTTCATCTTTTTCAGAAGAACGACTCTCTTGAGAACAAACGACTATTTATTATTGGAAAAAATTGATGTAAAAAGGTGCTTTCTGATGCTAAACTCCGTTCACTAAATCTCACATCTTATCACAGAAGTTAGGCTCTAAAGACTTTTGGAAAATCTTCAACAGCATTATTAACAAGGGTAGATCTAACATTCCATCTCTCATTCATGGGACTGATCTTATTACCTTTCCCAATGATAAGGCAGAACTGCTGTAACTGAAAGATTTTATCGTGCATTAGATGGAGGCGGTGAGGCTAGGGCTATTGCTCTTGATATATCTAAAGCTTTCGACATTGTTTGGCATGCTGGTCTTCTCCATAAGCTTGCTTCATGTGGTGTTTGTGGAAAAGTTTTTGAGATTATCAAATCATTTCTTTCTAACCGGTTTATTAAAGTCATCCTTGAAGGCCAACACTCTTCTTTATTTTCAGTAACTTCTGGGGGAACCCCAGAAGGATCCATCTTAGGCCCTCTTTTGTTTCTTATCTACATAAACGATCTTCCTGACAACCTTTCATCTAAAGTAGCACTTTTTGCTGATGACTCAACTTTATATTCCTGTCTTGACAAAAAGTCTTCTCTTTTTGATTGCCTAGAACAAGCAGCTGATCTTGAATCCGATCTTACTTCAGTAATAGATTGAGGTTCACAGTGGCTTGTGAATTTCAACTCTAACAAAACCCAGTTGTTTACTGCAAACAACTACCGTAATATGGTCAACATTCCTATATTAATGAATGGCAATCCTCTTACTGAGTCCTCCTCTTTACGTCTTCTTGGATTATCGCTTACTACTGACCTTTCATGGAAACCATATATACAATCGATTGCTAAATTAGCTTCTTCTAAGGTTGCTTCTCTTTATGGTGCTCGCCATTTCCTTACTTCTGATTCCATTCTTTACCTCTACAAATCTCTTATTCGTCCCTGTATGGAATACTGTTGTCTTATTTGGGCTGGTTCTTTTACGATTCACTTTCTCTTCTTGTAAATGTTTTCTTCCAAAAACGCATTGTAAATGTTGTTGGACCTGGACTATCTGCTAAACTTGAGCCTCTTTCCCATCGTCGTAAATTTGCATCTCTTTCTCTTTTCTACAAATACTATCATGGTCACTGCTCAAAGGAGTTATCATCTCTAGTTCCATCAACTAAAATTCATTCTCGTTTTACTCGTCGTTCAGCTAAGTCTCATTCGTTTACTGTATCTGTCCCTGCATGCTCTAAAAACTTTTATTCATCTAGTTTTTTTCCCCGCACTACAATCTTTTGGCACTCTCTCCCATCTTCATGTTTTCCTGACTCATACAACCTTCAACTTTTCAAGTCTTCTGTCAACCGTTTCCTTGCTCTATAACTCTGTTCTTTTTTTTTCCTAGTAACTCCCAACTTAATAGTGGTTACTTGCAGCCTTGTTGGGAGTGAACGCAAATAAAAAAAAAAAAAAAAATCAATCGGATGTTGAATATCAACTATACGCAGTTCGTGCCATGTCTCTAAATCAGAAATCACAATGGATGAATGCGCAATAAATAACAAATATTTGTAGTTTTAGTCTCTATGCGTATAACTGTCAGAGTCTTAAATCAAACTCATACTATATCTTTAATTAACTCTTTTGATATAATTTTTCTATCCGAGCACTGGCTTTCAAACGCCGATTTTATTATTTTTATTGGAGTTTATCTTACTTCATACAGAAATACTTCTGAATCATTTGAAAAATATCTGTCTCAACTTAGTGTAATTGCCTCCATCATTAATACATACGAAGATGAAGGAGAGTGTATAATTGCCGGCGATTTTCAGTCATTTCCTGAAAATATATATGACATGGAAGTTCGAAATAACCAAAAACGTAACAACTTTTCTAACCATTTTTCTAATTTTCTTGAAACAAATGAGCTTTCTTTTTTGGATATAATTAGTGGTAATGGTCTTATCTATACCTATAAGTATAAAACGCTAAATAATTTATCTTACATCGATCACATAGCAGTCTTAAAAGAATCATCAATATGCTTTACAAACTGTAAAATTATTCCTCCTTCACATTTAAATATTAAAATTACGCTTTTATTGGAGAAGCAATAGAAAAACAAACTCAAACAGCATGCGAAAAAATAAATAATGCTGCCACTTTAGCAATGGAAGAATGTTTTCAAAAAAAAGAATTTTACATTTACTCTAAATCATGGTGGACACCAGATCTTAAATTATGCAAAGACATTCTCTCTTTCCACTTTAAGGAATGGAAAAAATGTAACTATAACAGATCACAGGAATCCATTTCATTTAATAAATACAAGCTAGCTCGTAAAAATTTTCGTAAAACTGTAAAAGCAGCTTATAACCTAAAAATCAATAAAATTACCAAAAACATTGAATATCTTCGAAAAACTAATCCTCAAAAGTTTTAGAACAATATTCAAAAAATTAAATCTAGTCCAAACACTCGTATTTTTACGATAAATAAGAAACAAGATAGAAAGGAAATTGTAAAAGAATTTCGACAAAACTTTAATACGATTCTCAACACTCCCACAATTACTAATAACAATTCCGAACATCGCAATATCCCCCAATTTATAGTTAAACCTAATAAAATACTCTTATTAACTTCCGACATTGAATCTTGTATTCGTAAGCTAAAGTCTAATAGATTACGTGACTCTTGTGGAATCACTGCAGAACATCTTAAATACTCTTCTAACAACAACCTCATTACATGGCTTTCAAAGTTTTATAACAGTATCTTTAATAAAGGAGCTGTGTCATAGTACTTATTAACTTCCATAATTATTCCAATAGTAAAATCCTATAAAATCTCTTAATAATTCAGATAATTATTGCGGTATTAGTATTACGCCTATCTTGACAAAACTCTTTGAATATATTATCATGCAAGTATGCCCAGAAATATCAGACAGCCACTCTCATCAATTTGGTTTCAAGCAAAATAGCTCCACCCTGTATGCAGAGTTCCTATTGAGTGAGACATTAAAACATTATAATAATAATAATTCACCAGTATATATCTGTAGTTTAGACGCAAATAAGGCTTTTGATAGCTGTAACTGGGATTTGCTGTTTGAGAAACTTTATTATTAGTAGTTCACGCACTATAATCATTATACCGCTCGGGTACAAGTAATATATCATACCTTGGACATAAATCAAATAATTTCCGCTTGTCTCAAGGTGTACGAAAAGGATCCATTTTATTGCCACATTTATACAACATTTACACTGAAAGTATGTTTAGTCAAATTTTCCGATTGTAAAGTTGGAACAACAGTAATAGGTTTATTCGCTGGTATTATTGCTTATGCAGATGATATAATCCAGCAAAGTCCTACTCTTTCTGGGCTGATTAATAAAGTTCAAACGCAATGTCAAAACCTCTATATTAAATTAAACACAGAAAAAACCGAGTTCATTATCTCCTGTAAAGTTTAGTTACAAAAAACATAAAACAAATTAACGGGTTTTCCTTGACACTCAATAATAAACTGAAACACCTCAGGTTCCTACAGGAAAATCAAGGCCATGGACAAAATATAGTTACAATCCAATCAGCAAATGTAAACGAAAGAATTATTCAATTTCAATCAATCTCCTGAGCACTTATAAAATCTGGAATTCGTTTTTGTCAACCAGTAACTATAGTGCATAGAAACTTGTGATTATAACAATACTTTTCTTAATAAATTAGACGCTGTTGAAAGATCAGCATTAAAAATTTCTTTTTAGTATTTCAAAATACAGCAAAAAATCTGCATTCCTACTTTAAAATCGATGACGTATCTACCATCCTCGTTCAAAACAAACTGAATCTGTTTATCAGATTACTGAGTAATCCGACTTGTTTTTCCTTGATTTTAACTCAAATATCTAATTTTAATAAGGAAAACTGCTTTATCAACGAAATAAAGAAAATTTGCCACCGCCTGGAGCTAAGCTTCATGCAGTGTTTGATTAAGGGGGAAAAATCATTATCAAAATATAAAAATAACCCCTGGATAACAAAAGGATTTAAAAAATCATCCAAGATTAAACAGAAGAAGAAAATATCTTAAAACAAAATCATTAGATAATGAGAAAATATATAAAAATTACAAATATCTCTTTGAAAAAGTTCGTAAAAACTTGAAAAAAAATTATTACACAAGACTCCTAGATAAATTCAAAAATAACACAAAACGCAATTGGCAAATAATGAACGAAATTACTGGCAGACAAAAAAAATGCTCAGGTTCTCTTCCCCAGATGGTTATAGTGGATAACAAACGCATATGCGAACCAAAAGCTATAGCTCATGATTTTAATAAATTCTTTACTGACATTGGTCCTAAACTAGCAAATAAAATTCCTTATACCAAAGCAACATTTAACGATTTTCTAGTACAGATGGATAATTGCATTAGTTCCAACGAATTATATTCTGAGCTAACTTTTCATGAATTCGAAAAAGCATTCAAATCCCTTAAAAAAAACAAAGCAAACGGAGCAGATGACATAAACGGTAATATAGTTATAGAATGTTTTGAACAATTAAAAGATATACTTTTTAAAGTTTATGGAGCATCTATTCACCAAGGAGTTTTTCCGGATCAATTAAAAGTTGCTAAAATTACCCCAATTTTAAAAGAGGGAGATCAAACAAATATCAGTAATTATTGTCCTATCTCCGTCCTCTGCACATTCTCAAAAATACTAAAACGCATTATGTATAATAGATTATACAATTATCTCCTTTCTAATAATTTGTTATACGCCAACCAGTTTGGTTTTAAAAAAAATAATTCGACGGAACATGCAATTATCCAACTTGTACGTGAAATTTCAAATTCTTTTGAAAAATCTAAATTTACATTAGGTGTTTTTATCGACCTATTGAAGGCGTTCGATACTGTAGATCATGAAGTTTTGATACAAAAACTGAAATACTATGGAATAAATTACAAAGTTATAAAATGGTTCCGAAGTTATTTATCTAACCGTAAACAATTTGTTTTTAGTAATAGTTGTTATCCAAATGAGTTCCTAAATATTTCATGTGGCGTTCCCCAAGGTTCCATTTTGGGACCACTGTTGTTCTTGATTTATATAAACGACCTAAATAAAGCCTCAAATTTAATGAGTATAATGTTTGCTGATGACACCAACTTATTTCTTTCCAATAATGATATTTACAAACTCTTTTCTAGTATGAACAATGAACTTAAAAACATATCAAAATGGTTTATATGCAATAAGCTAACTCTTAACAGTAACAAAACAAAATGGATTCTCTTCCATCCAATCGCAAAAAAACCTTATTTACCCCAAAATTTACCAGAAATCTTTATTGATAATACTGTGATAAAAAGACACTGTCACAATGTCACAAGGTTTTTGGGTGTTTTTCTTGATGAAAACATCAAATGGAAAGCGCATATTGACTATATTAGCACAAAAATTTCTAAAAGCATTGGAATTTTATATAAATCGAGAACATATCAATGTAAAAAAGATTTAACCCAACTATACTACACATTTATTCATACATATTTAAATTATGCAAATATTGCTTGGGGAAGCACAGAAAAAAGCAAATTACAACGTCTTTACCGCCGTCAGAAGCATGCGATCCGTTTAATTAATTTTGCGGATCAATACACTCATTCCAAACCTTTTTTTATTGAAATGAAAATTCTAAATATTTACGAACTTAATGTGTTTAATGTTTTATGCTTTATGTATTTGTGGAAAAATGACTTATCCCTACCTATCTTTAAAGTTCTCTTTTGTGAAAAACCAATAAATAAATATATTCTTAGAAATAATAAATTTTTGCATAAACCTTTTTGTCAAACAAAGTTGTTTTGCCAAATTTTGATATATTTTACACTTTTCCAATTTTCAAACATAAACTCAAAAATTTAAATTCATTTTCCGATGACATAATAAGGTTCTTCTAATTGTAATTATGTACCTTTATTTTAGAACTTTTTAATTGTAAAATACGTTTTATGCTAATTGTAAAATACGTTATATGTAACGACTCTTTTTGTTTTACTTTTTATCTTTTTGTTTTACTTTTTACTTTTACTGTTTATTTTATAAATAGATTATATACATTGTAAATAATTATGCTGAATGCTTGTAAAAGGTTCTGATGATAAGATCAGTACGATCTTTTTTCAGAAACCTTGTTTGTATTTGTTAAAGTATTGTATTATGACAAATATAAACTTGAAATGTAAAAAAAAAAATAAAAAATAAAAAAATAAAAAAAAAAGAGAATTTCAAGATGTTAAGAAATAAAAAAAAGTATTAAATAATTTAAAAACAAAGAAAAAAAAAAAAAAAAGGAATGATTAAAATATAGTAATAAAAATGACAAAGTTTTCTGTTTTTGGTTATAAACTGAACGTAATTCGATATATATATATATATATATATATATATATATATATATATATATAAATATATATATATATATATATATATATATATATATATATATATATATATATATATATATATATATATATATATATATATATATATATATATATATTATTTATTTTCAAAATAATTCGAAATTAAAATGATAAAACTTCTGTTCTAATATTACAAAATATATCAAAAAAAAATTATTGGTAACTTCAAGAGTAAATATTTTCAATGAAAGTATGATAAAGACATTGAAATTCTTAATATCGACTTTGTTCTTTTGTTAAATGTTCTAGATTTTTAAATTTATGGTGCTAATTTAATTTAATAACTTCTAAAACTGACAGAGAAAATCTGCTATTTTAAAATCAGTTAGTACTCACCCAGACAGCACACGACTCTGGGCCAGTACTCTGGCAAATCATTGCACGCCGTTCCGACTATATTAGTAACGGGCCATTACAGGCGCGAGTCTGGCAAGCGTCAAGCAACTTTTTATGCGTCAAGCAACTTTTTATGAACGGTAAATCATCGCAAGAAGTCGCAGCGGCGTGCGGAACTCTGGCGAATAGTCGTAAGCCACTACGACGATTTCGGGCCAGCTCTGGCCCGATTGCGGTGGATACAGAGTTTTGGCCGAATGTCGCTTTGCAATAATTGCCATTATTTAAATATTTTTTAAATATCAAAAACAAATTATTATCAAAACACAACATCTTATCAAAAACAAAATAATACACTCACACAGATATATATATATATATATATATATATATATATATATATATATATATATATATATATATATATATATATATATATATATATATATATATATATATATCTGTGTGTGTGTATTATTTTGTTTTTGATAAGATGTTGTGTTTTGATAATAATTTGTTTTTGATAATATGTTATTTTGTTTTTGATTTGTTTTTTTGAAAGGTCTCTGGTTTGAATTAGTACTATTTACATTGTCCCTTCACAAAAATATTATTGTAATATTTATACTATATTCAATATATTATATGTATAAGTATATGACATATACTTATACATTTATACAGCAATAGTACAAGAAAATTGTCATTTAAAATTGCAACATGTTCAAATTTTTCTAAATTTAATGCTAAATATTCCTAAGGATAAGTAAAAAAATTTGATTTCGTCAAAAATTACTAGTACACAATATAGGTAGTCTTGTCAAAAATACAAATACTTTTCACTAAACAAATTTTGTTGTCTAACACAAATATTGCCACATGTTGCTTTAAAATAAAGATTTGGTAAGTAAACATCATTATATGATATACACTATACACATACACATGTATATGATATACACTATAATAGTCAATATAATATTGTATATGTGTTTGTGTATAGTGACTATACACAAACACATATACAATATACACATATTATATGTGTATATTGTATATGTGTATATACATATTATATGTGTATATTGTATATGTATATTGTACACGTTGCAATTTTAAATGACAATTTTCTCCAGTGTGTCTTGCTGCACTTATTATAGTTTGTTGAAGTTTGTACATTGTTTATTTTTGCTCTTGATAACAAAAGCGCTCAATTATTTATTTTATTATTTATTATGTTGTGTCTCAAGTGCTTTCTTTTAATAATAACATTATTATATTAATATTGTTTGTAATAATACAATCTATAGATAATAATTTTAAAAAATGACTTTATTCATATAAATGACATCATCAAAATTGATTTCAACGATTTTTATGTAATGTATTTTAAAAATTTTTTTAATCATTTATTTGCATTTTCTGAAATACTTTGAGTATTTTTTATTGCTCTATATTTTAATGTTTCTCAATTTAATTTTTGTTTCGTTTATCAAATATAACAAAATGATCAATTGTAATTACACTTAATGCATATAATTCCCATTTTTTATATAACTTATTACTACATTTAGCATATATATTATATTTCTATGAGAAAGATAAATAAGTTTTATATTGTTAAATTTATTAATAAAAAAAAAATTCAGTGGCTGTTTTTCATGTAAAATGGGTATCAATCAATCAATATATTTTTCGATAAAAGATCTTACAATCAAGGTCATTTACAAATAGTTAAAAGCTAATCTTAAGTAAATACCGTGAAATAGGATTGATAATACAAATAATGATAAGAATAATACAAATAATGATAATTATAATGATGATAAATTAAAAGTTATAAAAACAATAAGATAATTATATGATATGAACCAATATTAGTTTTAAAACAACAATTGAATATAATGCACACACAGGAAAGTTACAAACAGCTGTCGACTGACAAAATGTAACAACCTACCATGTAACTAAAACAATTACTGCAAAAAAAAGTAACAATTGTTTAATAAAAATAATAATCTTAATATCAATAATAATAATAAAAACGGTAAAAGTAAAATAGTTACTTCATTAAAAAATAACAATAAATGAACAAAACAAAAATTATTTAACTAAAAGTTAAGAGTTTTCATAATAAATGACATTATTAAAATAAAAAAGTAAATCATATCAAGCAAACACATATTGTCACTCTAAAATAATAAAATTTAAAAAATATTCTTTTTTCTTTCTTACAAAATAGAACAATTTTTACATTTTATTTTAATGTGATAATGATGAGCAAATGTAATTTAGATGATGATCATCATATCATGATGTTGGTTCACTTTCAGTATTTTATAGAAATGTATATTATCACAAATTTGTATATTTAAGTTCAGAAACTAACACTCCACAGTTACTGAAAAAAAAAAGTTGTAAATAATAAAAAAAGACACTTGCTCCAGCCCGTGCTATTCCTCTTTTAACATTTTTATGTATTGAAAATTTGATCATTTAAAAATAAGTAACTTTTTAAAACAAGGCTCTGCTTCTGAAGTTTTAGAAAAGGATGTATTTTTATACTTTTTTCATTTGAATATTCTTTTTTATTTTTGTAACTGAATTCCAAAATGTTTTGAAACAATCTTTTAGTTAGTTTATGTAAATAGGACACAAATATGCATCAAAATTTATCAAGTTAAATTGATGGACATACTTTTTTCGAAAGCAATGAGTTAGACAACTGATGGGATGGAGACCCATCCACTTCTATGGCATTGTATTTTATTGACTAGAAAGTTTTTTGTTTTTTTAATGAAGAATTTATTTAAAAGACTTCATTATAAGGTGACAATTTCTTAATTTTTAGCGCTTTAATTCTAAAAAATGTGCTTTGATTGAATAAAATTGAAAATATTTTGTTGTTGCCTATTGAGATGATATCAACTTAGTTGCGTGCTGATCAGTTGCTGGATGAATTAAAGCTCTCATAGCTCCCTGAATCAGTATTGTATCATCAGTGGCATCTAATGCTAAAATTGAAGCACATAGTAAGCATTAGTAAACTGAACTTAACTGTTTCATTATTGTTAATTTTTTGTTATTTTAGTTTTTGTGGTCTTAAGTGACATCTAATGGATGTTTATCTGTAAGATGGTTTCTTGCCACTGTGAGCAAAAAAACACTTCATTGCATTGGTTAGTAGTAATCTTGCAATTTACTCTTAAAGTTATTTTTATATCATTTTTTTTTTTCGATATTAATATGAACTTGTCTTATGTTTAAATATTGTTTTAAATTTTATATCTAGTGTTATTTTATTAAATACAAAAGGGTTTTTTCAATTACCCTAACGTATATATATGTGTGTGTAATGTAAATTTTAATCATACATTTTAATTTAATTGTTTACTATTTTTCACACATAGTTTAACTTTGTGTTATTTAGATGCTGTGAAAATAAAAGCTTTAACCTCAGGAGCATCAGAAGAAGAGTTTGAACATTAACTGAAGAGATATTTTTAGCTTTTCGGGGATCAAAATGGCGGACGAACAGCTTGAGAGGAACGTTCTTTGTATAAAAAGTTATTTTCATAAATAACAATTTGAACTTTTAATAACATTTTTTTATTTTTTGTTTTATTATTATTCCTATTTTTCGCGCATTTTATCGCAACGAGAACTGCACGAAAATTATAATCTTTGTTATCAATGTGGTTTTTTATTGTTTTTTTTTTTTTTTTTTTATATTTTGCCTTTTAAAAATATTACAATAACCAGATACATATTTAAACAATTTATATTAGCAACGGCAGGACTTTTAGAAGATCAAGCGGATCTTTATATGAAGCCCTATACAATAAATGAAAATTTTTTGAAAAAAATACAATGTCTGTGGAGAAATAATAATACACTTTAATGCAAAAAGTTTAATAAACTAATATAATTGTTAAATGAAAAAATATATAAAATACTATTAAAAGTAAATGAAGATATTTTTAGTTAAAAATATAATTTTTTTAAGGTTCTGTTTAAATAAAGTAAGTCAGTTTGGTAAAAAATCAAAATTTGGTAAGACTATTTTGTTCCAGAGACAAGGACCTCGGTAAGAAACAAAAAACTGGTCTTTGCTTTTACGGCAAAAATGACAAATAAGATTGTTATTAATAAGAAGATTATATTTGTTTTTAGATTAAATTTTTTTTTTTTTTTGTCTTTATTACTATCTTTATACAAATATAAGTAAATTAAAAAGTTATCTTACATTAATTTAAATTAATTAAAATCAAATACATCTTTAGAAAAAAAAGAGATAATAAAGAAACGGAAAACTCGTAAAAGACCATGTCTTGTCACCGAAAAGCGCTCAAGCTAACTGAAATGATTTTGCTGTATAATAAAGATTTTATAATACGTTTGGCGACAAATTTTCTCTACATTTAAACATGAAGCATAAAATATTAAAGACATTTAGTTGATATACATTTAAAAAAAAGCCTTTCTTTAAAAAGTTGTTTCGTTTGATAAAAACGAATTTTATAACTTATTGCGCGAGCTGCGTGTTTCTGATGAAAATGAAGAGATTTTCGCTTTGTTTTAAGTGCTTCCTCATGTAATATTTGCGTAGTTTATATGACATTATATTAATGAATATTATAATTGTATTTACTCAATATATTTCTTGCTTTATTGAGAATTCTGATGTCTTTAGCAAGTTTATTGAACGTGTTATGAACAGAGGCGATTTTACTTGGGGAAGAGGGGTGTTCCGCCCCCTCAAATACGGTGATTTTCAAGTTATAGTCGGGTTATTTTCGAATTTAATTGGCTAGTCGAGTATTTGAAACAATTCATTAAGGTAAATTCTAGTTTGTAAATAACCAGTCGGTACTTTTTAAGAATTCACCCCCTCACCCCCTTCTTTCCTTAATTTTATTTGTAGAATCGCTTCTGGTTATTAATATGATTTATCTAAAAAATTTTATGAAAATATTATTAATTAAAATGTCTGGTATGATGTAGAGAAGTTTCTGTTTTTTTGAAGGTGGATAAGAAAGTATTCATTTAGTTTTTTCTATATTTAGAAATAATCTATTTTGTTTAAATCAAACAGAAACTTTTTTAAAGTTATTTGTCAAATTAGTAAAAAACATATTAATATCTTTATAAGACAAAAAAAAAATTGTATTGTTTGAAATTTATGAAGATCATTTATTATATTATAAAAATGACTGGACCAAGTATAAATCCTTGTGGAACACCACAAGTTATATTCATATATAAATGAGATATACGAGGGGATCCAAAAGTTTGTGGAATAGAGGAGATGGAGTGGAGATATGGGCGGTCACTATGTGCCATACTAATTAGTGACTCATCATTAGTATTGAAATTTTTGTTATAGCTCTGAAGCATCATTCGTTTACAAACACTCGCCTGCTAAACAAGTCAATCCGAAAGAAAACTGAAACTATGGAGAAAACTGAACACCGTGCTGTATTCAGTTAAATTCCTTACCAAGCAGAGAAAGAACGCTTAGACCATTTTGAATGAAATAGAGACCCTTCATTGGAAACAGGGCCCTAATAAATCAATGATTTACAAGTGGCGTGGTCTTTTTAAACATGGTTGTAAGTCGGTTGAAGATGACCCCCACTCTGGAAGGCCAGTTGAGACTACCACATCAGACATCGTACTGGAGGACACTTGTTTGAAGAAAAAACAGTTGTCTGCATTAGTTGGAGTCTCAGATACCACCATTTTACAAATTCTACATGATTACCAGGGTATGACAAAAGTTAGTGCTTGATGGATTCCAAAAATGCTCATGACTCTTCAGAAACAACAGTGCGTTGATGCGACAAAATTAATTTTTGGAGTCGTATAGAGACGAACCTGCACAGATTTTGGAGCGGATTGATACTTGAGGTGAAACATGGGTTTATCACTTTGAACCCGAGTCCAAACAAGAGTCCATGCAATGACATAAAAAGGGGACACCACTGCCAAAGAAATTCAGTGTGGGAGTCAGCTGGAAAGTTGACGGCTGATGTTTTTTGGAATCGTGAGGTAATATTACTCATTGATTACAATAAAAAGGGAAAGAGCATAACCGGAGAATACTATGCAATAATATTATAAAAATTAAAGGATACCATCAAAAAAGAAAAAGTTGAGGAAAATTGACCAAAGGTGTGTTGCTCTTGCAAGACAACGCGCCGGTTCACATGAGCAGAGTTGCAATTGCTGCTCTGTACACACATGGCTTCGAATCATTAGCACACTTACCTTACAATACAGATCTGGCGCCAAGTAATTTTTATTTGTAGATACAATTTAGTGTTACCATTTTAAGTAGCCATTGCAAAGCGGGACGTAGGGTGGTTGTTTTTTGTTTGTTTGTTTTTTATATAGCGGATTCATGTTAATAATGAGATACTCATGTAAAAAGGTAAAATTTTTGGTCAAAAGTGTAATTCAAAAGAAATTTTATGGGTGGTGATCCGATCAATTTATATAGGATTACTTTTAACATTTTCCAAGACATATATGCATTTATTGAAATGTTTATGAGACTTGTTTAAGAAAATTTAGATTTTTAAACAAAAAATTCAACGTAGTTGCGAAAGTAGGGCCAAAATATTAAAAAATATTGATAAATAATACAGCATTTTAAGGCGGTACTACCCTGCAAATTTTATTTTCTAAAATAAGATCTTTTTCTTAAAATAATAAACATTTTCCAACAGTAGCTAAAAAACAGAATATAAAAAAAACCATCTTTTTACTTATTTGTCAGCAAAAAAAAGCAAAACACATGCAGTCACAAGAACATAAATAACATGAGTAATATTTGAAATAAAAGCTTCAAATTTTACAAACATATAGCTAAATGATTGGTGGAGGGCCCTTAGGATGATTTTTTTAAAATACAAAGCTAATGTAATATGGCAGATATTAACCTGTAAAAATCATAAAAAATGGTCCGTGGGGTATGTAAAATTTTAAATTCTGGTCAAAAAGAAAAACGTTTTTTGATATTTCTACTACCAACCCTTTCTACAACATCAATAAAAAAACTGAAAAAATTTTAGAGGAAAAGAGTAAATAGTTTCTGAAATATCAATCTTCTAGTTTAAAAATATTTGAAAAATATTATTCTGAGAAAAACAGCTTTTAAAATAAAAAATGTCATAAACTAAAAAAATCTCTAATTAAAAAACATCTCAACTGGTCAGAAAAATAGGGTTAACCACTTTTAATATTTTGTTCAATGTAAAAGTAACCTTTTTACAATACCAATGAAAAAAATTTTGAAAATAGGGCAAACACATAAACAGACATGGTTCCTAAGGCCGTTGCTAGGGGTTGGAAAATAACCTTGTTGCCTTGGAATACAACTTTTAGGGCTTTCTGTTATTTTTCGAAGGAAAGTAAAGTGGTTCTTGTGATTTAGGATGTTCAAACTATAAGAATTAAAAAAAAAATTCTTTTTGCTGATTTTAACAGGGTAGCACTACCTTAACTTTAGTGGAACTGGAAAACTGATTTTTTATTATTTTTTATTATCATTATTATTCAGTGATCAAAAAAAAAAAAAAAATACAATAAATTTGTTTAAAGTTTGATGAAGAGGTGCTACACCAGGCCCCTCTATGCTGACAAAAATAAAAAACACAGAAGCTACAGACAAAGCAGCAATTGTGTCTCTAAAAGTTACTTTGTTATACTGTTTTTGAAAGCATGGATAGATGGAGCGTTTACTACTGCTTGGGAAAGCGCATTTCATGGAACAACAACTCTATTTAAAAAGAAGTTTTGTCGTTCTTCACAATTTCGTACAAGCTGACGTTCTAGTTTTTGATTATGCCCTCTCAAAATATACTTGGGTTTATTGTTTAAAAATTTTTGTGGAACGAAAAAACTGACAAGTTCGAGTTGACTCGTGATTTTAAATTTTTCGATTAGGCCTGCTTTTTTACGGCGTTCTTCAAATGTTGTTAGACCAAGCTGTTGGAGTCGATTTTTATAGGACAGGTGTTTAATAGATGATATTGTTTTTGTTGCTCGATGTTGGACTTGTTTGAGGGTAGCAATGATAGACTTTAAATGCGGCGACCAGGCTTGAACAGCAAACTCGAGGTGGAGGCGAATTTAAATAAGATACAATGTGCGCCATGAATAAAAACTGCAACTCCGAAATTTTTTTTTGAGTCGCCCTAGCATTCTACTTGCAAATGATGCAGCTGACTCTACTTGTGGTCTCATTTTAAGGTCTTTGGAGACCATCACACCAAGGTCTCGTTCGACTACAGTCTTTTTGAGTGAATAACGCGTGCCGTCAATGTTGGCCATTGAGTAATTGTGCGTCATCTTGTTACAAGTGCGGCCAACATGCATTACTTTACATTTCTCAATGTTGAAATGCATAAGCCAAATATATGACCATTCCACTGCACTGTCAATGTCGGCTTGGAGACTGATGCTATCCGACTCGCTTTTAATTATGCCAATAATTTTACTGTCGTCAGCATACAGTTTCATATGATGACTAATTCTGTCCGGCAGGTCATTAATAAACATTACGAATAGCAATGGGCCCAAGACCGAGCCTTGAGGTACGCCACTAGTGACCGTTTGCCATTCAGATGTGATACCGTTGATGACTACTTGTTGACTTCAGTCGTGTAACCAAGCTGAGATTTAGTCTAACAGCGAAATAACTTGAAATAACTTGTTTTGGCGGATCCAGGATTTTTAACTTTTAGATCCAATTTTAGACATTGTCAAAACCTAAAAATTAAGTATTTTCATGTTGAATGAGAATATTTATATCTTATAAGTGTTTTTGCGTGTGCGTGCGTGCGTGCGTGCGTGTGTGTGTGTTTGTGTTTGTGTGTGTGTGTGTGTGTGTGTGTGTGTGTGTGTGTGTGTGTGTGTGTGTGTGTGTGTGTGTGTGTGTGTGTGTGTGTGTGTGTTATTTTATAATTTTTCCATTTAGCGTTAATTTACTTTTTTTAAAACAATGATTGTTGTTATATGCGTTAAAAATATTTTCTAGAAGTTTTTATGAAGTACCACGTAGAAATATACTGTTTTAAGGCGCCATTGCTAAACTTTTTGGCGTCTTTTTTAATTCTAATGCTTCTTTTGTTATACAAAGCCAAAACTAAGAGTATTGTTTTCACGAAAGTAAATTATATATTACGTTATTATATTATTATGAAATTTATTAAAGAAAAAAAAACTTCTTAAAACATAAAAACGTTAACAATTTTGAGACTTAAAATAAAATCTTGATTCGTAAAGTGTTTTTTGAGGTTGTCTTTTATTTAAATTACGAATTAAAACGCTATTTATGAAAAAACTAAAAAAACAGCTACGAAAACCGCTTTAACAGCTCGTTAAAGTTGTGCGTATATTAAAAATATTTTAACATGGCATTTTTGATGATGATAAAAAAATGAAAAGATGAAATAAAAAAATTTTCAAGATATTTAAATGTATGAAAAGTACTTAAGAATTATAAACATAATATTTGCGTTGAAAAGTTAATTTAGAAAAAAGAGGATAATTGACGGAGTGTGATTACTTTGACCCTATAACTGTTTATGTGTTTTGCTTTTAATGTTTTTTAAATATTTGTTTTGAAATTATTAAATTTTATTATTTTATTGTAAATGTTATTTGAAAGTTTATTCAAACAAAATTAAACAAAAATTCAAAAACCTGAAATAAAGTTGCCTTTGATTGGCCAGTGCTTGTTTTGCGGGAGTTAGATAAGCGTAAACCACTCCCAATGGATTTTTTTTAGCTATTTTGTTGTAATTATTAAATGTTTATTTGTTGAAGAAGTGCTTTAAAAAGAGAAATAAAAAATATGTTTACAAACAATAAACTTACGTAAATTTTTGATTCCCCTGAACCTACGGCGACTTTTTTTTTCACAGCTTTTCAGTTCAAAGTTTATTACCTTGACCTAGCCTTTCTATAAAAAAAAACAATTAAATATCAAGCCTTCACTTTTAAATACAAATTAAAACAACAATTTTTAAAATATAAAATTAAAGCAGTGTCGTGGTTAGTGGGTTGGAGGTTTCTCTCTCCCTCCCCCCCCCCCCCCACCTTACCCTTAAAAAACGAACGTTAACAAAAATAAACTAATAAACAGTCATTAAAATCCCTCAAAATCTTAAAAAAACCTTCTTCTAAAAAAAAAAAAAAGCTCAAAATTTTGAATTTTTATTTGTTTCACCGTTTATAACCTAGTTGATAAAAATCTAAATATGAAATTCATTTTGTTGGAAAAAGTTTAGGGTGTCGCGTTTCTAGTTTTAAAATATATACTTGAAATATTATTACAGAATTTGGAAAAAGGGGAACGCTATCAAAATAATAGAATGAGGATTTTATTTATAAAAACCTTTTTTTTTAAATAACACCTAACTTGTAAGTATTGAATAATTTTCTTTGCTACATTTAAAACTTAAGTAAACGGATTTAATCAAGAATTCAAATTGTTACGCAATAACTGTGATTTTTTTAAAAAAAAAAGTTTTTAATTGAAGCGACAGGGGTTCGCAATTTTATTTAAAAGTTGTTTCAATTTGAATAATAAAATTTATATATATATATATATATAAATTTTATATATATATATATATATATATATATATATATATATAATTTATATATATATATATATATATATATATATATATATATATATATATATATATATATATATATATATATATATATATATATATATATATATATATATATATATATATTAAAACAAAAAATGTATACAAATTTTATTTATTTTTTACTTTTTTCTTATCAATTATTTGTTTTAAGTTGGTAATATGAATAACAATAATAATGACACCACCACCACCATTACCACCATCACCAACAAAAATAACAAGAACAATATTAATAATAATAATAATAATAATAATAATAATAATAATAATAATAATAATAATAATAGCAATAATAATAATAATGGTAATAATAATAATAATAAACAACAGCAATAACGACAATTATGCTGCGTTTAAATGCAAACGTAATGTCATTTTATGGCAAATATAAAATCTTAAATAATCCTGTAAATAAATATGAACTTTTTTTAAAAGTCGATTTAAAAAAAACAACTGTGCGTTACAAATTAAACAGGTGTTCAAAAATTTTATTATAACCGAATATTTAGAGGTGGTGCAAAATTCACTGAATAGCTACAAAAGATTTTCCTCGATGTGATCATTTTCAATTTAAATGTAATTTTATCTAAAATATGGCTTTTTATTTCAAAACAAAAGCAATTCATTTCCTAGACTTAATGAATCATTAGATCTTTTCAGGACTATTTTAACATTCTGTCTTTTACTCGAGAACGTGTGCGGATAAAAGAATCTTGATTTAAAACAAAATGTGTTGACTTTAGATTAGGTGGCAAGTGACGTCAAAAGTTTAAAGCCGGCTCCTCCTTTATTTATCAGCTTTTTATCCTTCAAGAGATCGATCTGTAGAACACACACAAAAGCAATTTTTTCCAGTAAATTATTTAGTGGGAATGACATCATGTCTGCTATAACGCTCCTCCCATAGTAAAGTTATTTAGTAATTTAAAATCCGCGATAGAGAATAAAGCCAAACATTTTTTTTTTTTTGATTAATACAACATATCTTTTCAGTACTATTGACAGCATCTGCAGTAAATTTTCTCACAATCATTTAACATATTATAAATTTGAAACAGTCGGTGTGTAACTAAAACTATACTTTTTTATTATAAAAATATAATTATCAAATTATATTCAAATTATACTTTTTTACTATAACAAATTAATAACATTATGAGACATTTTTTTATTTAAAAAAATAAATAAATAAGGCGTTATCACTTTTTCGTCCAACAACCCACCTATTAACTTTTGCATAAACTCCAAACATGGATTTTGGAGTTGATAAACATTAGTTTATTTTTATTTAGTTATTTGTTTTTTAAAATTGAGTTTATTGAAAACATGTTTTATTTAAAAACTAATAGAAACTAAAGTTAAAATACTAAAAAACAAATAACTAAAAAAAAAAACGTTTCTGCATATCAACTACGTATCTACTACGTGTCTACTACGTATCAATGGTATCTGATCAATGATCGTTTTAAAAAAGGTCATTTTTTTAAAACAAAAATTTCTGTATATAAAAGACACTCCACCAGACTCTCCTTATATTCAAATTTACTTTCCAGACGCTGGGTAAACAGCACAACGTCGCTGACTTAAAATCACTCTAGGTCGACTTTTTGTAAATATCTCCCACAACTACTATTTACTCAACATTTGTTAAACGTTGGCACGTATTTCTAATATTTCATTTTAAAATTGGCAACGTAAAATGGCACGTATTTACAAAAGTATGTTTTAAACATTGGCACGTATTCCCTAAAAAGGTAAACTCCAAACATTGAGATCTGTATAACCTTTGCAAGTATGAGCAACTTAGGCTGAAATTATGCTTGATATTTTGCAAACAAAAACAATTTCACTTTGATGTTTTAGTTAAGTTGGCTTGTAATTTTTTATGTAACGAATAATTTTCTTTTTAATTTAATTTTAAGTTGATTTTTAAAAAAACAAAAAAAGTATAGGGTTTTTTTTTTTTTTAAGGTTTTTTTTTCTTTTTAAAAACAGTATTAAAATGCTCATTTCTATTTGCATTATAAACCAATTCTAAAATTGTAGTCAAAAAACAAATCCAATTTTTACATCTTCTGTAATGTTATTATTTTTTTTTTTTTTAACGTGCGTTACCATTAGAAACCTGAAAATCAACTCAAACAATTAGAAAAACTTGCATAAAAAAAAAATTGTTGCTAAGTTTCATTTTTTATGAAAAGATTTTCTAAACATTTTCTACATTTTAAAAATCAATGCAACGCATATAAATTTAATATTTTCCTTGTTTTTAATTTTGTAATAACTTAGATTTAAACAAGGAACTAATTACATGTAAATGGTAAAAAATTAAAATATTACACTGTTTAAAACAATTTTTTTAGAGTGTGAAAATAAATCCTCCTCACTATGGTATCATTTATATATATATATATATATATATATATATATATATATATATATATATATATATATATATATATATATATATATATATATATATATATATATATATATATATATATATATATATATATATATATATATATATATATATATATATAATATGTATATATATATAAAAAAGTTCAAAAAATAAATTAATGTTTTTCTATGGGATACTTTTCATCTGTTTTACATTTTTCGGTGGTTTTTTTATCAGGAACAATTTTTTCCTCAGTTTTTTTATTTTGCGTTTGATGAGTTTTCATATGCTTTGACAAATGATCAGAACGCATAAACTTTTTCAAACAAGTTGAACATTCAAATCTTTTGTCTCCGGTATGAGTCCGTCTATGTCTTTGAAGTTCGTCAGACCGAGTAAATCGTTTATTACAAAATAACCAATTACACGCAAACGGTCTCTCACCTGCGTGCCATCGTAAATGCGCCCTCAAGTGACTAGTTTTTCCATAAATTTTACCGCAACCAGGAACATGACAAACATGTAACTTTCGTTGTTTTCCATCTTTGGTAGTTACCGTTTTGTTTTCTCCATCACGACAATTAGGACAGGTACAAGCAATTCTTCTGGGTCTTCTATGATCTCTTGTATAATAGATTTGCTGTTGTTGTTGATATTGGTAATCGGATAAATTCTCGCCGTGAATATCACCTGGTATCATTCGATTAATTATCATTTCTTGTTGGTGTTGCCCCATACCTATAGAAATATTAGCCTGCATGCTACATGTAGGACAAAATGAAGAAGTGGTTCCTACAGGATGATTGTGAATGCTTTCATGATTGCTACCATCAGATATATGTTCCTGAGGGTGTCGTATAGAAAAATTACTGCTCCATTTCATGTCTGAAGTGTGATGTTGATAGTTTAACGGAGAGTTAACATAAGACGGCTCTCTGAAGTTTGAGTGAACCATATAAGAGTTCTCTTGCTTCACTTCGATTGGATTGTTTTGCGGTAAAAAGTGAGCAAAATTTTGTTCTGAGCTATAACTATTAGCGGTTGGATTGCTATTGCCGAAGGAATGTAATAAATGTTGCTGATGTGGCGACACTGGTTGAGTTGGTGTATGGGACGCATGTAAACTCTGGGGCTGGTTTCGCAGTGTTGACATATTTTGGACCGGATTAATTATATGTGATAAAGAAGGTTGTTTACTAATTAAATTCAATGCTTGCATAGGAATGTTTTTAATTTCAAACTCCTCTTGAACCATACAAGAAGATTTTGTTGGTTCAACATTTGGCTGACATTTTCGATATGGCTGTTGCCACATGTATTGTTTATCAGAAGAATAACCGTTTTCTGGGTTGTGGTAATTTGTCGGGGAAATAGAACTTCCCAGATTCAATATATTTTGCTGGTCTGACTGCTGTAAGCTGTGCAAAGCGCTACCTTGAAAACTCATTTCATCTACTGCACAGTTAGGGGACTGCGAGGAAAGACACGAGTCACTTTCAAAGAAAAAATTACTCTGCGATAGCGGGGACGAATTAACATAATTTTCTGACGACTTCATTTCACAAGAAGAAAAATGTAGATTTTCAACGCGACAAGTATTTACATTGCTATGGCTGCAAGATGAACTCGATAAAGACGCGCGGTTTTGTGCTTCAATCATTCGTGTTTCCGTTATTATATTAGGATGTAGACGGGGTTTTTCAAACGTTTCGTTTTTTAATTTCATGCAGCTAGAATGAGTTGGTTGAAGAATTGTTTTGTGTAGTACGTTATAGTTTTGATCAATATATAAATCGTCTTTATCTCGATCGAAGGAAATATCTTTTTCGTTAAATATGTTATTACCTTGAGGATTAAACGTGTCGCCAATTTTACTGCACGTTGCAGCTAAAAGTGCTAATGGTGAGGGCTGGATATTCTGGAATAAGAAAAAATATTATCTCAAGAAAGGGGGCGGAGAAGTTCCGCAGTTCTTCATATAAAATTCAATATTCAAACTTGAGACATTGTAAATAATACTTACAGCAGTCTGCTGGTGCGTGTTAGGATAAACATATTTACCATCGTCTTTCTTTAAACCTATGGGTCTCATCTTAGTCTAAAATAACAAGGAAATGCTTTAAATTTACACGAGATTTCCTTGTAAAATTTGAGGCTCGATATAAAAGTTAATGGTTCAATTGTTATAAACTTTATAAACATACAGCTGCACGGCCTCGTTTACAAATCAAATCTAAACAGCCAATAGGAGGATCTTTTAAATGTTTGATTGACAGCTTTTCTGTAAAATTATTGTTTTTGCGCTGTTAGCATAAAACTATATTTGAATAGCTGTCAGTCATTCTTTTATTAAATTTATTTCTGTAATTAAAGGAGGTGATGATTGGCTTTACGATTAATATCGGAGTGTTAAAATTGTAATCCGAAACAACGAAATTTAGCAACTTAATATTATCATTCATTTTAAAAAAAACAAAGCCTTAAGAAAAATTCTTTACTTATAGTTTTTGATAAAAGAACCATTTTCTTTATTATTTTTTTTTCTTTTTGGCCACAGTCAAATTTGTTAAAGTTTATCATAAAAAATAAAAAGTTCATTAAGTTGGAGGAAAAAAAAACAACGTTTAAAACAATTTTTGCAAGCTGCTCTAACACAATCGTGCCGCCCACTATAAATCAAGTTGATTTAACGAGCATTTGTATTATTCGATGTATATTATGACTACAACTATAAAATACTAATACTACTAAAACAAAACAAAACAAAAAAAAAAAAAAAAAAAAAAAAAAAATATCCTGATTAAAAAAATTTATTAGCAGAACTATTATTTGTAAGTTTTTTTATTTTAAAATATATACTTAAGCAATATTACTTCGACAAAATTTGAAGCGCACTTTGATGCGTAAAAACCTTACCTTTGCGATGATTTATTTTGTGAAAAAACTTTTGAATATATATTCTGATTTGCAATTCCGCATATTAAAATACTTCCAGAAATTCACTTAAAGATTGCGGGAAAGTTAATTACGAATTCATGAGCTTGATTCGAAAATATTAGTTATTTATTCATCTCTAAATTGTTGAAATTATTGATGAGTTAAGTGAGGGAACATAAAATGTTGAAGAAGAGACTCTTGCGACAATACCACTTTTCTTTTTCGTTGGTTTTTCTTTAAGCTGATTTTTGTTGTTTTGATTTTCCTTTAATTTATTTTATTTTAGTTTTTATATTATTGTTTTTAACTGGAAAAATATTACCCGATTACTTTCGAAACTTTCTTTTCACAAATTTTTGATTTCGTTTATCAGTTAATTATTTTTATGTATTTTTAACTGTCTTTTTAAAGTTGAACAGATTTTTATTTTAAATAAATAAACTTAAAAACAAATGAAATAAACGCTTAGCATAATGTTTTAACTAAAACTTTTTCTTTCCGATGACTTAGCTAAACTTTTCCATTTTTATTTGATTCATTTTTTTTTTTTTTACTTTTTCATTTTTTCTAACTTTCCGCCTTGTAGAAGATCTATCAATTCTAAGATCATTTAAATTTGTAGTAATATTATATTAATATTAACTGAAACTTTTTCTTTCCAATGACTTTGCTAAACTTCCTCCATTTTTATTTGTTTCATTTTTTTTTTTAATTTTTTTTTTTTTACTTTTCCCTTTTTTCTAACTTTCCGACATGTAGAAAATTTGTTAATTCTAAGATCATTTAAATTTGTAATTTATTATATTATTATTATTAAATTTGTAAGTTTATAAAAATTTTGAGCCCTTTGAGAACTTTTTTATATGAGTAAATTTATCTTAAAGTAAACAAATCAAAATGAAAAATGAAAAAAATAAAGGTCTATTTAAAATGAAAAAAAAATTCAATAAACATCTATTATTACAAATTTTATTTTATGTTCATTTTACAATAAAATTCAATAACTGTTTATAAATGTAAACGCATTTTTATATTTTATAAATAAGATTCATCGTTGTTTTATTATATAATCATACATCTCCAAATTTATGAATTTTTCCAAAATAGTTTCGTTTTTCCAAATCACTAAAAACTTTTTTTAGCATTAACTTCTTAACATTTTAAGCAGCGTTAATAAAAATCTCTGTGATATTTGCAACCGTGAGGCAAGAGCGTGAGGCAAGTGCGTGACGCAAGTGCGCTACCGCTGCGCCACGGCTAAAAATCTCTGTCATATTTGAAGAGGCTTTACTTTTTTTTTTATATATTATTATTACAAATTTGCCGTTTAAAATAATTACAACTCTCGTATTTGTAAAATATACACATGGCGGGGGCAAGAAGAAGACAAAATAGTCTTATCGCCAAGCCCCAAATAACTTTTAACACTCTAAATTATGTTTTTGTATGAAACACATAAAGTTTATTAATTTCATTGACTCAAACATAAAATTGTTTAAAAGCTTACTTTCTATACCATTTAAAAGAAATAAAGTTTAAAACCTTGCCGGACCTCAAAAGATACACTCATAAACAAAAAAAACTCACAATATTTTTAAATAAAAACTCCGTAATAAATTAAAAAAAAAAACTTATATAAACCATAAACAATAAAACTGTGTATAAATTTACGGTTTATATTATTCCTTTCCATTTGTCATAAAATTATTGGTGCCATTGTAATAAACTTAATAAAAAACGTTTAGAAAATTTCCTCTCATAGTGAAAACCAAATCTTCTTTGATCCATAAAAAAAAATATCCTTAATATAGCTACAGGATACCGTATTAAACTTAATTTCTGTTTTAATTTTTTGCATTAACGTTTTTTCTAAGATATTTTTTTATTAATGGTTTTTTTATCCTTCGATCAGGAAACGGCGATAATCTAATTTTTTGCGTGTCATTTAGAATTAAAAAAACTATTGGAATCTAATAACACAAAAAAACAATATTGTTTATAAGTAAGAAATTTTGCACTAGACAAATTATTTCGCAGCAATTGTGCATCAAAAAAGTTAATATTATTGAAGATATGTCGTGCTGTTCGTTTTTGTATTTTTAAATTAGAATAAAGTTTTGATGGCTCCACTCAAAAATAACGGATTTGAAAGAATAGAGGGTATTAAAAAAGAAAAAAAAAGCATTTTTTGTAAAAAAAAATTTTTTTCTTTCTACTTTTTGAAAAAAATTGAAAATTGTTTTTGAAAACTGCTGTTTTTTATTTAGATCGAAAGTTTTAACTTTAATAGTATAACTTAGAAAAAAATGCTCATTTTCACCAGCGTATCTAGAAGTTAGGGTGTTTACTTTCACTTTCATTAGCATATCAAGAAGTAGGGTATTTACTTTCATTTTCACTTTTACTTTCATTAGCATATCAAGAATTAGGGTGTTTACTTTCACTTTCACTTTCACTTGCATATCTAGAAATTGGATGTTTCCATAGAGTTTTTGTTGGACCACATTGTTCGCAAATTTTTTTAACGTTTTTTTTTGTTGGTTTATTGTAATTTATTTTCATTTCTTGTAAAATTTTGGCTAGTTTTTTTTAACATTTTAAGTACTTATAATACCCTCCATCATTTTGTTCAATTTTTATTTCATTTTTGAGTGGAGCCATCAAAATGTTATTAAAAAAGAATTTTTTCTCAAGTTTTGCGCACTTTCAATATCATATTTTTGTTTTAAAGCAAAAGACTTTGTTTTTGAAATATATATAAGTTATTTCAAAAAAGGTACATGCACACACACATACGCAAGTAATTGGTTTTATTTAGTTTTTGAAATAGGTCACAATAACCAGTGATTACTTACTGGGTCCCAAATATCACAGAAACTTTTTTCCTTAAAAAGTTATATCCACTTTGATATTGAAAGAACAATAATTTTATAAAGATTTTAAAACTTGCAACATTTGTTATAAAAACATTGTAATAAAAAAATTACAGCTAATAATCGTGAGGTTAGAATTATTTTGTTTTATCTCCGCTTTTAGAGTTTTGAGATAAAACGATTTAAAAATTAAAAACTTTAGTAGACGGCATATAAAAAGTTTTTCATAACTTGTGTTTTCTCCGCAAGTTTTTTTATTATAACTTGGTTTTCAATATAGTAGAAAAACATTATATTGAGGTACATAACACAATAACTCAAGTTTTTTTAAAACGATTGAACAAAATAATTCTAACCTCGCGAAATGTCATAAAAAATGATAATTTAAAAGTTTTCTTCAAAAATGTTTTTTTTTTTGTTTGTTTCATAATTTAAGTAATATATTTTTATACTTCATTTAAAAACATTATTGTATCTGAAATTTTTAAAAACTTTAGTTGAAATTTTAGGAACTACAGACTCCGGGGTTAAAAAAGAGAGACTCTCAGACTCCGTATATTTCTTTTTGTCTTAAATACTGTTTTGAATAAACTATCTGAAGCTGTTACAAATAAAACGCCTCTGAAATACTAGAATAGACTGTTTAAACTTTCTATTATATTGCAAAAACTACTATTTATTATTAGTTTCTTTTCTTTACTAAAAAAATAACTTTTTTTTGGTTAAAGGTTTTTCTACAAACAGACTTTAGATAACGGATTTCTTAACATCAAGTTGGAGTGTTTAAAAGCTATTTTTCAATTTTTAAACTCATATAAAGACCATAAACTCATATAAAGATCATAAAAAAAATTGTTCTAAATTTAAAATAACTTGAAAATATTATTTCAATCAATATTATATCAGAGCTAACAACACCGGGGGATGAGGAAGGGGGCCGGAGGGGCACTTTACTTACAAAAAAAAAATTGAATGAAAAGAATTTTTTTTCATTATTGTATTACGAAGCTTGGCTTTTACTTTGGCTATTTAAACCTTACGATAAATAGTTTTAGTCTTATATTTATTTTAATGCTAATAATCGAAATTTTTTTCGAAATTTTTAAATTCGAAAGCTTTATTTTTTTCACTTACAAAAGAAAAATATTTTTGAAATATATTACAAGTTTCATGTATATCAACCTGTCTCTCCGCGCAGCGGCCTTTCTCGTCAAATTTCGTATTTCGGAGCTTCAGAGTTGAGAAAGTGAACAAACAGGTGAGTATATAACAGTCTTCAAGATCTTTTTCCTTTATAAAACTGAGAAGGTTGCATAACTTAAATTCTCATTACTACATTTTTAGATTTTAGATTTTTTTTTCGACACAAGTTTTTGTTTTTTGCAAGCCTATATTTTTTGTTTTAATAAATAAAAATCATGTTTCACTTGGGTTTCGTTATGTTTTGGAATATGGTTAATTACGAGCTACAAAATAATAAATTGGGTTAATAAAAAACGATTTCTCAAAAATTTCATTATTTTTATAAAAGTAATGTTTTACAGATCAGTGTACTTCTATTCTGTAAATATTAATAAATGCTTATTGATTCGGCTAATGCATGATAAGTTACTTAAACTTCAATATAATGCACCTTTTCAAGATGTAAGCAAGGTTTAAAAAAACGTAGTGGTGAGGCGGTGAGGCGTACGCTTTTTGCAAAAATTTTTAAAACTTGACAACAGTCAAGATTGAAAAAAGCGTACGCCTCACCGCCTCACCGTTGCGTTTTTTTAAACCTTAGATGTAAGAGAGAACTTGAAAGTTGTAATTAAGAAACGTTGGATTTAGTTAAGAAGATGCATGTTGTAATTAAGAAAAGTAAGATGTAATTGAGAAGATAAAAGTTGTAATTAAGAAACGTCAGATGTAATTGAGAAAATGAAAGTTGAAAATAAGAATTCGTAAAATGTAATGTAACTGAAAACATGATAGTTGTAATTAAGGAAAGTATAAAGAATACAAAGTTCTTTGTATTTTGAATTTTGTAGTCCTAATATGCTTTGTAATTTAAGGCTGGAAATAATAATATACCTACAAAATATAAAAAGTCATAGGCGGTAACTAGAAAAATCCTATTAGGTATCAATTAAAACTTTCTTTTATTTTTGCTTGTGAAAAATTTAACTGAGATTTCAG